ATGACAACAGTAAATCAAAGCAGAATGTGTCCAACATACTGGAGAACAGATCGGTGTAATGCAACTGTCTTTTGTCTCAACAGCATCAAGAAAGGAAAAAAAATATATAACCAAAGTTTTATCATGCAGTATGTTTGTGCAAACCCTTTCCGTTCACAGCTCAGACTTTTCCCTTCCAAACACACAGACATACAAGGCAGCAGCTCCTTGCTGATGGAATGGAGGGTGTATAGACACATGTTTACAGTGTGCTGCACCAGAAAACTGTAGGTGGCAGAACTGTTAGATAAGGAAGTCAGACACAGAGAGAGACGTGTGGTTTTTATTTCACCAGTCCGATCTTCTTCGCTTCTGTTTCATATATCAAGAGCCTCCACATTTTTACTATGAAGACTTCTGCTTCTTCATCGAGGACCTAAACACAAACAGGTTGATTAGCTTTCTATCAAACAGCTCACTAAATGCATGCAGTGAATCCGACTTAAAATAAGTTTGAACTAGAGTGTCCATCTATTAACAGTGTAGCAGGCTAATGCTGCTTCACCATACATAACAGCCCTCGGCCTAAAGCCAACACCACAGCCATGCTATCGACTGTACTTGGGGACAGTGCTTACAGTTCATCCTGAAGGGGACATGAATGTGTATACCAAATTTTATGCCTTACTTCTGTTACTATTGTGGACGCCTTTATACTTCCTAAATGCACAACTTAAAAATATTAAACTAATTAATCTGTATACATTTTGGCTTTGTGTTGTGTTATATGGTGTTATTATATGTTGGCAGTGTGTTCTAGTATAAGTCAACCATATACCCCAAATGTATGAATTGAAATAACTTACCATAGCAACATCATCAAGAATACCCTGAGGGGTGCTGTGTGCCATCACCTGGAGAGAAAAGAAAACACATTCAGTTAAAACAAATAAAATGCAGCGCAACAGATTTTAAGACACACACACATAAATAAAGATTAATGATTGTTACTAATATATTCAGAAGCATTCATATTTTCTATAGGAACCAACATTTTACAGGTATAAACAGGGTAAACTTGAAAATAATGCAGCTGATTTACTCTCAAGTAAGAGAAATAATCACAAACCTTTGAACAGACAAAATCAACCAGCGTGGGTTCCTCCTCGCCGATGTATTCAATAATCTTCTTATTGATCCATGGTCTAATGCGGCGATCCATCAGAGTCTACAGAAAGAACAATCAGAAAACGTAAATGTAGCTGAAGAACTGCCCACAGAATATTAAATCACTACACTTTCTTTGACATTTTGAACATAGTAATGAAACTGCTGCAAATCAAACAACCAGAGGCTCTTTACCGAGTCGACCATAGTCCAGTCCAGAGGATAGGAGAAGAGCTCAGGCCTGGCTGTGGGGATCTTCTCAATAAGGCTCTTTATGTGCTTGCGTTTCTCCTCTGTGTTGATGCTGCCTTTGGCCCCTGGAATTTCTGCCCCATCAAGCCCCAGGCTCTTGTCATCATCACCGTAGTCCAGTGGAACCAGTTTCCTTTTGCGAGGCTGCTCATCAGCCTCTTCGTCGTCAAACTTGTTGAAAACACTTTCCACGGTCGCCAGCTTCTTTCGCTTTCCTACGTTGAGCTGGCTGGGACTGTTGGTGGCACCTGGAGAAGAGAAACACACGGTTATTTTTCAGAGTCAAGAAAGTAAATCCCTCTGTGTCCTTAGGTTGCCACTGTACTCACCCAGTTTGAGACTGAGACCAATCTTGGGCCGGTGTTCCTCTGGAGGTTGGACCTCAGGAGTGTTCTCGCCGGGAATGATGATTCCACAGGGAGATTCGTTGCCGGGTGTGTTCGGAGTCGCGTTCCCACTGGCAGAGGACACTGAGGGAGCAGTAGTGATTGGTCGCATGATCGGTTTGAGTTGCGGTTTGGCCTCTTGGGAGTCTTCGACATCGTGGTAGTCATCCTCGTCCGCTTCCACGTCGTCGTCTTCCGAGTGCGGCTGGGGGGCCCGAGGCATCGGCTCTGCGGGCCTTCCTGACCCTCTCTTCTCCCGATCCCGATCCTTGTGGGACTTCTCCTGGTTCACGTCCTCCTCGGGTTCAAGTTTCAGAGGAGGCTGTCTTCTGCGCTCTGCCTCCTCCTCCATCTACACAAATAGACACGACACATGAACGATGGCCTCACATTCTAGTTATTTTTCATTTATTTGCATCAGGAATTAATATTTGGTGACTGGTGGCATTTTAATAACAGATGTCACATCTTTACTCACTGGACAGAAAACAGATTCATGTGTGCTTAAATATCTACAAAACAAAAACACCACAGGACATATAAAATAACAGAAAATGATTACTTTTAGACTTTAGCAGTGAGAGGACTTTTCATTGAATCTGAGTTTATTAAATGGTCAAATGTTCAGCAAGTGGAAACTTATTTAGACTTGTAGGGGCTACTTTTGGTTTTAGTTGGACTTTGGCTGGAATTATTTTAAATACAAGGATAAATCA